AATTTATGGGCTACTTTTCATTTTTGGGTGAACTAACCCTTTAAGTCGCTTCTGTCTGTGATAATAACACACATAATGGCCACACACACTGTAGGCCTCCAAAACTTCCTGGCTGATATCCACTTTTAGATTTATTTTAATGCAGATGCATTTTGGATTGCGGCCTTTGTGTTTTTAAAGGAGTTGGCTACAGAATTAAAGAGATGGATTACAGCTGATAATGTAGTAAATAATGTTAATCTTCTTGCACAGACTGATCATTTCGCTTCATAATATCTCAATATATCACCAGGAGCAACGGGTATTTTGTGTTGCCTGATATGCTTTTTTGACTCTCCTAATGACTGTAGCCATTGACTTGCATTTTATGAATCACCAAGGAGCACAGTTTCAGATAAAAGTCACCTACATCTTGGATAGACTAAGGGTGAGTAAACTATGAGAAATTTTCATTCTGGGGTGAATCATCCATTTAATATTGCTGTGGATTAACAGGTCAGGTGTTCTGGTAGATACCGTGGTTGCGGGTTTACCAAACAGGACCTGTGTCTAACATGCTCTACAGGAAATGTATTGGTCAATTAATTGTGGATTACAATCATCACAACATTGCTCAGCATTGCTAACAAAATCAGTGAATAATATAGTGAATATGCAATGACCAGCCAAGAATAATACACAATCTTCCAGAGATTGTTAAGATACATGGACGGTGGAAGTTATTCAAGCATATGAGCACTCACCTTGGTTTGACCGTGGACACTTTTGCTGTGCGACTGGGGAAAGCACTGGCGGGTGGCGTCGGGGTGAGGACGGTCCTGACGCCCCTCCGTGGGTCCGTGGACCTCTCTTCTGGGATAGAGGATGGAGTATCCGGGGTGAGGGGAATGTCTTCAAACGGGTTTGTGGAGGACAGCACATCTAGACGTTTGGGTTCATTCATAGCTTGCTCTCTCTTCTCCTCCTTCTTCTTTCCAATGCCAAAGAGAGAGGAGAGCCGTTCGGTTACTCTGGACTCCTCCTGGTGCCGCTGCTCCTCAGCTTGATGCACCTCTTCCTCTACCTTGCGCTTCCTCTCCTGCTCTTCAAGCCTGCTTTTCCTCTCTTCCTCTTGTTTTCTCTCTCGTTCTTGCTGCCTCCTCTGCTCTTGCTCTACCTGTTGGTCCAGCATCTCTTGCAGGTTTCTTCCTTCGGGTTTCCTACCTTTCTCCTCCACCTCTATATGACTCCTATCCTCTAGAGGGCGCTGTGGGACAAGAGAGGCTTTGTCTTGAACTTCAGGCTTATATGAGGGGATACTTAAGCCTTTAAGTGAGTCGATGGACATGTCAGAAGTATTTCGTTGGTGGTATTTGCGAACATCCTCTACCGAACCCTTTCCTGAGCTGTTCAGACTAAGTGTGGAGCCAAAATTAGCTTTAGGTTCTTGTTCCTCTGCATAAACGTGGCTGCCGTTGATACAGAGGTTATTCTGCTCCTGGATGTTTTGTTTAGAGCGGCTCAGAAGAGAAAAGGGGCCAAGAGACACTTTGCTATCTGAGCTCTCAGTACGCTTGTGTCCGAGTATTTTAAACTTCTTTTTCACTGCAAGAGAAAATAAGAGGACAATATGTAACTGCAATGTAAATGAGGTCCCAAATGTACTTGCACATTGTCAGAAACTTTAGCCACATTTAAAAGTGTCTGGATTATATATATTAAAAAAAACACATTTGCCGTGACTTTTTGATTTGTAACTGGAGTAAAGGTGAATTTTAGCAGATGTAATATGATGTACATATTTACTACAGCTTGTGTCCAAATACTTTTTATACATGATAATCAAGCAAAAAAAGTTCATTCAAACTAGGGCTGCACGATAAATCGCATGCGATATTTAACGCGCATCTTATCAGTAAAGCCGGTTCTGTAATCAGCGGTAAATCTCCATCACCTGCGGGCTTTCACATTGAGCAGCATTAACTACACAGAGCCGTTGTTCACTGACGAGTTGCGTAAAACCACGTTCACATTCACGCGATTTTTTGCGCTGCTCGTCAGTGAACAACGGCTCTGTGTAGTTAATGCTGCTCAATGTGAAAGCCCGCAGGTGATGGAGATTTACCGCTGATTAAAGAACCGGATTTCTGACAAGATGCGCGTTAAATATCGCATGCGATTAATCGTGCAGCCCTAATTCAAACCTTTTAGAACTTAATCCAATCTAACTAGTACTACTTATCAAAAAACTGAAACGGTACAAACAGTAAAACAGCCTTTAAAATATTTTTTTCACTGTTTTAAATTTTTTTGTAACAATACACAGTAATAAAAAGAAATATTCACCTACACAGACTACTGCAAATCAAAAGTTTGGAATAATTACCATTTCTTCACACATTAAGGATTCTTTGATGGATGGATATCAACATTTTCATATTTGAAATATAAGTATTTTATAACATTATGACAGTGTCTTTGTCACTTTTGACCATTTAATATATCCTTGCTGAATAAAAGTATAATTTCTTTCTTTCTTTCCACAAACTTTTGAATGGTAGTGTATCATGGTTTTCACAAAATATGAAGCAGCACAACTGTTTTCAATATTGATAATAAGAGGAAATGTTTCTTGAGCAGCAAATCAGCATATTAGAATTAATTCTGAAGGATCATGTGACACTTAAGACTGGAGTAATGATGCTGAAAAGCTTTGCCATCACAGGAATAAATGACATTTCAAAATATAATCGACTAGAAAACAGTTGCAATAATATTTCACAACATTACTGTTTTTACTGTATTTTTGATAAAATAAATGCAGCCTTGGTAATCATAAGAGACATAAAAAAGTAATTATTCCAAAGTTTGCTAAAACTATTTATATTAATGAATGAAAAATAATTTGAAATGAATGATTTGAACTGATTCAAGGATTTATGATGTATATATAAACTGTGGCTGAAATGTCTGAACACTTTTTATGCATGATGATGCAATTTTTTTATGCAAACTGGTCAAAGCAGACATTATAAAGCTTAATTCAATTTACCTAGTAAAAAAGCAGAAACATTTTTTCTTAAGGAAGGGAAAACATATTTGGACAAGCTGCATAACTTTGACCTTACCATCAGGAGAGTCCACATTAAGGCCGGACGATCTGCTGCTGCTGAGTAAACTGTTCTTCTCAGGCAGGGTGCCCAGGGTTGACATGGACTGGGACACATTCCTTTGGAGGTTTGTCTTTGGTCCAAACAAGGATTTGAGTTTTGATTTCTTCTTAGGATTGTCCGAACTGCCTTCTCCTTCCCCTTCACTGTCTGTTCCCACTGAAGAGGGCACGATCGCAGAGGCAGAATCCGACAGGCCATCTTTCTTCTTACCACGAATTTTATCCTTGAGCTTACCGATGCCGGAGCGAGGCTTGTCTGTCATGGAGAGGTCAAACATGCTGGCTGTCAAGTTATTCCGCATGAACTGAATGTCCAAAAGAACGTCCCCTCGGTCCTTCTCCTGTTTCCCATTCTTATCCACCAGTTTGTACCAGCTGCAAAGAGAATCAAACAAGGTCTTCATTAGATTGATGACATTAGATGACAGTTGTGCTCTGTTTTTGTTAAGGATTGTCATTTATTTTAGGATTATCATTTAATTTAAGCTTAATTAGTTATTTTTAGCTTATTCAAAGAAGCCTTACTTTCAAACCACTTGAAAATTATTTTAATATTAATTAATACTAAAAAGTTTTTTTATTATTAATTGAAATAAAGCTGAAAATTTTCAAATATAAATATTAGAAGAGAAAAGGGGCCAAGAGACACTTTGCTATCTGAGCTCTCAGTACGCTTGTGTCCGAGTATTTTAAACTTCTTTTTCACTGCAAGAGAAAATAAGAGGACAATATGTAACTGCAATGTAAATGAGGTCCCAAATGTACTTGCACATTGTCAGAAACTTTAGCCACATTTAAAAGTGTCTGGATTATATATATTAAAAAAAACACATTTGCCGTGACTTTTTGATTTGTAACTGGAGTAAAGGTGAATTTTAGCAGATGTAATATGATGTACATATTTACTACAGCTTGTGTCCAAATACTTTTTATACATGATAATCAAGCAAAAAAAGTTCATTCAAACTAGGGCTGCACGATAAATCGCATGCGATATTTAACGCGCATCTTTTAATCCAATCTAACTAGTACTACTTATCAAAAAACTGAAACGGTACAAACAGTAAAACAGCCTTTAAAATATTTTTTTCACTGTTTTAAATTTTTTTGTAACAATACACAGTAATAAAAAGAAATATTCACCTACACAGACTACTGCAAATCAAAAGTTTGGAATAATTACCATTTCTTCACACATTAAGGATTCTTTGATGGATGGATATCAACATTTTCATATTTGAAATATAAGTATTTTATAACATTATGACAGTGTCTTTGTCACTTTTGACCATTTAATATATCCTTGCTGAATAAAAGTATAATTTCTTTCTTTCTTTCCACAAACTTTTGAATGGTAGTGTATCATGGTTTTCACAAAATATGAAGCAGCACAACTGTTTTCAATATTGATAATAAGAGGAAATGTTTCTTGAGCAGCAAATCAGCATATTAGAATTAATTCTGAAGGATCATGTGACACTTAAGACTGGAGTAATGATGCTGAAAAGCTTTGCCATCACAGGAATAAATGACATTTCAAAATATAATCGACTAGAAAACAGTTGCAATAATATTTCACAACATTACTGTTTTTACTGTATTTTTGATAAAATAAATGCAGCCTTGGTAATCATAAGAGACATAAAAAAGTAATTATTCCAAAGTTTGCTAAAACTATTTATATTAATGAATGAAAAATAATTTGAAATGAATGATTTGAACTGATTCAAGGATTTATGATGTATATATAAACTGTGGCTGAAATGTCTGAACACTTTTTATGCATGATGATGCAATTTTTTTATGCAAACTGGTCAAAGCAGACATTATAAAGCTTAATTCAATTTACCTAGTAAAAAAGCAGAAACATTTTTTCTTAAGGAAGGGAAAACATATTTGGACAAGCTGCATAACTTTGACCTTACCATCAGGAGAGTCCACATTAAGGCCGGACGATCTGCTGCTGCTGAGTAAACTGTTCTTCTCAGGCAGGGTGCCCAGGGTTGACATGGACTGGGACACATTCCTTTGGAGGTTTGTCTTTGGTCCAAACAAGGATTTGAGTTTTGATTTCTTCTTAGGATTGTCCGAACTGCCTTCTCCTTCCCCTTCACTGTCTGTTCCCACTGAAGAGGGCACGATCGCAGAGGCAGAATCCGACAGGCCATCTTTCTTCTTACCACGAATTTTATCCTTGAGCTTACCGATGCCGGAGCGAGGCTTGTCTGTCATGGAGAGGTCAAACATGCTGGCTGTCAAGTTATTCCGCATGAACTGAATGTCCAAAAGAACGTCCCCTCGGTCCTTCTCCTGTTTCCCATTCTTATCCACCAGTTTGTACCAGCTGCAAAGAGAATCAAACAAGGTCTTCATTAGATTGATGACATTAGATGACAGTTGTGCTCTGTTTTTGTTAAGGATTGTCATTTATTTTAGGATTATCATTTAATTTAAGCTTAATTAGTTATTTTTAGCTTATTCAAAGAAGCCTTACTTTCAAACCACTTGAAAATTATTTTAATATTAATTAATACTAAAAAGTTTTTTTATTATTAATTGAAATAAAGCTGAAAATTTTCAAATATAAATATTAGACAATTTATTTAAAATCTTATATTTAAAAAAAGTAAAATTAAAAAAATTAAAATAATTAAATAAATGCTTTGGCAACTAACTGAAATGAAGTACTACAATTACTAAAACTTAAATAAATTAAAGCTAAATAGAAATATAAAAATTAATAGAAAGAAAAAAGCACATAACAATTACTAAAAGTTACACTAAAATGAAAATAAATACATAAAATATAAAACAGCTAATTCAAAATATTCATAAATAAAGTATTAAAATATTAATAAAATAATATATAAATAATGCTGATAATAATAATAATACTGAAAATAAACTGCATGAAAGTCACAAATGTAATTTGTGATTTAAGTGTCTTTTTGGGAACATTTCACATATGCCTTGCTGAAAACTTTCTTTTGTAAAACAAATTTTGTATATATTTTTTAAAAGACAAAATTTATTTTTGTGGCGAAGAAAAAAAACCTGTAGAATAACCCTGTAATCCCTGGCTGGTTGTAGATTATTGCATGGCTACTCACCCAAGTAAATAAACAGATGTGAAATACTGAGTTTTATTAGGCTATATTTTTTTTAATAATTTTATTATGTGAGAAGAACATAACAAAAAAACAAAGAAAACTGAAAAAAAAAAAACAATACTGCAATTGACCGCTTAGAACTAAATATTCCTAGAGAGTTGTGTAATACATTAATTTAACATTCTCCAAAATGCGAACACATTTGACTAAAGGATATGATCCCTTTTGTAATTTCAAAATGGTTTGCTATTTCAAAAAGCTACATTCTATGTTTCAAATGGTATAGCGGATTCTAAACTAAATTACTGTATGAATAGAAAGGCTGGAATTTCACTTGGGAATTGAACCCTGTACCAGTAAATGATACAAAACACAGAAGCCTGTCTACTGATGAAATAAAGGAAAAACATCTTTGTTTAGCCTGCGCTTGTCCTCTCTTTTTCAGCAGAGGGGCAGGTGGGAGAGTTCTGGAGTTCAGTGTGTAATCATGAACATGCCATTATCTGCCCACGCTGCTGTTATAATAGACTCCTGAGCGCAGGGACCATGGGTAGCCTACAGTCACACTGACACCAAACAGCGGCTCCCACAGACCAATCTGATTAAACGTGGCATGTGATCAGAGCAAGCGGCTGCAGCTGAATTCCAAGCATTTCTGTTTGGACAGGATGAAAGTTTTGGACAGACTGCTACTACAATTTTAATGAAAAACTCATGAAAGCATTTTTAGCATCTTTAGAATATGGTTGCGCATCATATGCAATCATTTTCAAGCAAAACTGTGTTTATAAATTTATGGAGTTATATTATAGCCGCATAATTTCCAGCCAGTTGCGATTTTTTCTTTTTGTAAAGAATTTATTTTGTCAATTTTATATTTGTAAAGAGAAAGAAATATTAAGTCAAAAAATGTAATTTACTGATATTTATATATATATATATATATTATAAAATAACTATATATATAGATATATATATATATATATATATAATAAATACATATATATATATTTGTTGTATTTCCAAATAAAGTTCACTCAAAAATGAATGTTGAATGGTAAATGCGTTGAAGATTAGCGGACACGTTGTTAATTCATAAAGTGATCAGTTAATTCATAAAGTTTTTTTTTTCTTATTGTGGAGCCCTGAATGTGGGTATAATTTTCAATCTTAAAAGTGTAGAAACACTTCATGGTTATGGCTTATGGTTTTCTTAAAGAATAGCACTGACTGTAGTTCAAAAAACTGTCATTTAATCGGATGCTTGGAATCACATCAAAATGGGAAAGACTAGAGAAGCCCAAGGCCAGGAAACACAGACTATCAGTCCGTTAGTGGACCTTACACTCAAAACCACAGCAGGAAAGTCAAATCTGTACTTTCAGGGTGGAGAAAGACTAAAGGGAAATCGTGCCTATCAGCAATCGAAGCTCAAGGGATTAGATAAGGAAAGTTCTTTCAAGATAAAAAAAAATAAATAAAAAAAAAAGTGAACAACAGAGGCCTGACAAACTCAGTACAGAACATCTCATCTAAAATAGATATCTATGATTAGACCTGTCTCTTTTAATAGGTCACCTTGCAGTAAAAGCCATTTTATAGTCACTTTCGCATGCATTGATATCTTAAATACATCATTCTCTCACAGCTCTCAGGAATTGATCCAAACGGTCATGTCTGAAAGTTCTCTGTTATTAGAGACAACATTCAGAAAACTTCATCCGACACATTCCTGTGAGCTAAGCTAACACCCCCCCACACACGGCAAAGCTTGAGGCTTTATCTCTTCACACAGCGAAAAACAAACAAGTGCTGCTCTTAATCTATTTTCAGCTGCAATCATTAACTCTGTCTGAGAAGGGAACCATCAGGAACAGCCTGCTATCATTTTCAGAGATAAACCCTGGTCACATTTACACAAAAATCTACCACATAATTTCATCTAGGTTCACATGAAGGCTAGATGAATCACTTAAACCAAACAAACATTTAATCTTCATAATGATTATGAAGATGAAATGTTTGTTTGGTTTAAGTGATTCATCTAGCCTTCATCTACTTTTATACACATTTTATACTTTTTCTGAAGGACTAAAACACGACTATCAGCAAGCTTACTAGGGGTCAGCATTCAGTCCTGGCATTTGTGTTTCAATACAAATGTATACATTCACTAGGGTATTGACAGATTTAACCATTCAGTTTGATTGATTCATAAGCTCTTGATTCAATTCGATTCCAATATTGATTCAATAATATCGATTCATTTGTATATACACTGTAAAAAAAATTCCGTAAAATTTACGGTAAAAAACCAGCAGCTGTGGTTGCCAGAATTTTACCGTAAAAAATACGGTAGCAACGTTTTAGGTTTTACGGTTTTAACTTAAATTTACAGTTAAATACCATCATTTTATTAACTGATATAATGTTAATATACCAACCTATTGAAGTACTGAAATCTGTTTTGTACCTTTGTAATACACTGATAACCACCAAATGCAGGTGGTGATGAGAAAGTCACATACAGTCTTTTACCGTTAAATTCACGGTCATTTTTTACAGTGTATAACAGGTACAGTACATGTCCATTTATTTAAGGAAAGAAAATCTTTCAACTAAAGCTGTAAGCTACAGGAAACCATACATTACTATAATATTAAAGATTAAAATTAACAACAGAGTCCAAATTAAATTGCTATTTATTTTTAGATATAACAATCAACATAACAATCAAACTGAGTTGTATACAAACATTTAAATTGTACATAACAGTTTTTTATATTTAATGACTATGATAATTATGTTTCCAATTTGTTGTTGAAATATAAAAATTTAAATAATGGTTGTCAGAAAAACTTCAAAAAGATTTGTTCCCACATCACTAACCGGTTTAGTAAAAATATATTGAATATGCAATATAGTGCACATATTAAGCAGAATGCCACTCAATAGAGTTATTGTTTCTAGTTAACTAACAGGTTTATGAACAATTATTGTGAGACAATTACCTTTTTCATGTTTTATTCCTTGGCAGAAAAAAATTGAATTGTGAGGTCAAGGTGTAAACTCAGGATTCTGGGAAACAAGTCAGAATTGCGAGAAATAAACTCAGCATTTCGAGAAAAATTTATCTTTGAAAGAATCGTTTGAGTCGTTGAGAAGTAATTCAAAATTGAAAATGTTTTTTGACCTTGCATGCATGTAAACCTGTTGTTGGGGACTCCCAAAACCAATTTATGAACCTTTCAAACAGCATAAAAAGGGGCACTTTAAAACACACACACACAGAGAGCTATGCAGAGCATTTAATCTTCACTGAAAACAAAATTGAAATTAAATGAAATTATATAAAAAATTTAATTTATAATAAAATTTATAAAAACTTAATTAGCTTAGACTTAAATCTGATTTAATGCAAGTAATTTTAAATTTGAATTAAGCTAGCCTAGCCTAACCTGGGTGTGAATGGAGCACATAGGGGTTAACAGGAAGCATGAGTTCTCACCGATTCCTTTTATTTGTATCAAGTACACAAAACCATGTTTACAGAGACACACTAAACCACGGACCCAGCCACTGTGAGACTGCAAAACAAACTGGTGCAACAAGTTTCATCTGCTCTTTTATTTATGGGATAACAAATGATTTTATAAAGGGTTTTAGAGGTCATATGACATGGGAAAAGTCGGCCTAGATAAAGGCACAGCAAAATAATTAGGAAACTCATCCACTGAGGTTAAGAATTAACCACACCTTAGTCCACATGGACCTGGACTAACACAAAAAATATGGGTTCAGTAGCTGATATCGGAGAGTCGAAAACTGGAGAGGTGCTAAAACATGACAGCCTTAGCAAGAGGGGAAAAAATGGCATATTAATTTTAGATCAGAACGGTTTAAAAATGAATATTATTAATATATTTCTATTATTACCACAATTAATAATAATAAAAAAAATGCTCCCCTATTAAACTTTTTTACTATAGACAATGATCAGCTGGCCCGCACCTCAATGACAAAGCTGCCATATCAACATTACCCTGAAGTAGGACAGTAACATGACACCAGCAAGCTCTAAGAAAGAGAGGAGGCAGAATTCAATCCCTCATGTGTCAACGTATATGAGAGGGAGAAAGAACAACAAAGACAGAGAGATGGCTTGTGTTTTATGGGCAAAAAATTACAAACTGCTTGCAGTGCATAATACTATAATGCAGAGCCAGTACCAACA